CATGGAAACATTAGATCACTAAGGTCTTTCAACATGGCAACAAAAATGATGTCAGATATGCGGACATACGGTTTCTCGTAAAATGTCTTCATTACATTTTCTTTTTTTTTATTTTTACAAAAAATACCTTTAATAATTTGCCTCGTTACATTTCTTGTCAGTGACATTTTATTAAGAGTGTAATTCTTTCTGCTTTACAGTGACTTAAGAAACTGTATTATTGTTATTACACACTGTTACACTGACGCACACTGTTTAGGAGTGATACTTTACAGAACAGCAGGAAGACAGCATTTCATTCTTGAGTCATTATAGGACAAAGTAACATTTTAAATCCTATGGAGCAGGTTTGGATAAGCTGGACAGAGGCAGGTGTAAACTTGTTACACAGCGCTGTAATCAACTCGTGTACTTTCACTGTGGACACAACGAGTCAGTGTGAGTCCGGTGTTTTGAATCTTCTTCGGTTTTCTTTCTCTGATGCTACATGATTAAGTACATCTCAAAACTCGGGTAAATAGAAAATAATAAAAAAGGACACTGCTTAAAACTGTAATAAAACAATTACATTTGACCCTGAATTAGATAAGAAAAAGGACAAATGGATGGCTTTAATGTTAGAGGAGCTAAAACAGATGTTTCAGACAGAAGATGAACTGGGGAGCTGCACCAAAGGCCAGTAACAGATAAATAAGTATTATTTTCAACAGTATTACAGGTGTACAAAATCAATACTGGCTGGTCACTAGAAGCTTTGGCTTTAAAGTTGGACAGCAGAATCTGAAGCTACTGTAGCAGAGTCCAAGTAAAAAGTGGTGAAGCTCAAAAATAGAGTCTCGATGTGACATCGATGGAACAATCCTTCCATCCAAAGGAAGATGATTCCCGAATGAACAACTTCCACTGTTCATCACACGATGTAGGCGTAGGCGTAGTAGCACACAGCTGATAACACAGCTAAAGGCAGCAGCACCAGAATCATCTTCCACAGGCTTCCTGTGGACTTGTCTCCAGTGGGCTCCCCTGATCGTACAGAGGTGTGATTGGTGGAGCTGTAGGTGACCTGCACGGCAGCCCTGAGACACAAAGGAGAAGAGGTGGGTTAGATCCGGCTATAAACTCACGAGCTCAAACATGTGACTGCTTCATACTGCAGGATTCACTCTGTGTCAGCGTCTGGTCCCTCCACTCCATGTTGCTCAGTGCTTCGCTTCACCCTGTGTGCAGGAAACACACAGTTCAATACTTAATGTTCAAGCCAGCACTGGGTTTGTTTCACTGCACTACATTTATGATACATTTTAGGTAAAGTTACCCCAGGGTTTACCATCAACGTGTCATCACCATTATGACTGAGCTGACAAGAACAGTGGATTTTATTAACACACATAACAGATTTGCACTGGTAGTTAGCTGCATGCACTTTTTGGTTTAAGGATGGCTGGGTATTAAAATGTTATCAAGTCCAATTAAATAAAATATCCTCAAACAAAGGTCAAGAACGTGATAAAGTCCCTCACGTGGAACAAATGGCAGTAAGTACCGTGGCAGCTGCATCAGCATCAGCAAGTTAAAATAATGAAATGCTGCAGTTTGAGTTTCACATGTAAACCATCTCTCTGCTTCCCTCGTCACCTCCTGGAGTTCTCCCATTTTCACATGTAAATGATTTGATTGGCTGAATAGCATGTGTGTAGTGAGTTACAAAGCACACGATTGGTTGGTGTACACACAACAAGAGATAAAGGAAAACGTTGCACAGATTAATATAACGTTAGTGTAAATACTAGAAAATCCAACCTATCATCTTACAGTGTAAATCACAACACTGTACTAAGAAATGTGACTCTGCAGAGTTCTGACTGACATCTGGGTAAACAACAACAATCTGCCCTTTCAGTTTTACTTCCATGGTAGTGTGGACCATAACACAGATGAGGTGTGATAACACCAGTGCAGTTTGGGAGAATTTCATAGAGGAAATAAAAGCACAGTGTTGTATGTGGGCGGTGCAATATAATCAGCTATAAGACTATCCAACCGGAGCGGTGTGCTGTCAGTTAAGTAAACAACATTTAACTTCTTTTTGCAGTTAACACTGAATGGAACGATGTTTGCTAACTGGGTATTAGTTGTTTGTAAACCAGTCTGGTGGTTGTTGGCAGGTTTCAACTGGTGTTTCTAAATGGTTAGTAGAGAGAGTGGTGCATCGAGAACCACCAGTATCTCGCCAGTCAAGGTGAATGTTGTTTACCCATGAATGCCACAAACCCACACTATCATTTTTATGAGATTCATGTTCTGTTTAATCTGCTTCACTATAGTTTCATGTCCACATTTGTGCATGCACACACATGCACCATGTTTGAAATGCACGTGTCAGCGGAGCGGCTTCATCGATCCATCATTGTCTCAGAGGACGAGAGGATCTTAAATTAGAGCCTCATCCAGATGCTCTAACCCAGGGATGTCCAACTCCAGGCCTGGAGGCCCGGTGTCCTGCAGGTTTTAGATCTCACCCTGGGTCAGCACACCTGATTAGTTTATTACCAGGCCTCTGGAGAACCTCGAGACATGTTGAGGAGGTCATTTAGCCATTTCAATCAGCAGTGATGGATCAAGGACACATCTGAAACCTGCAGGACCCTGACCCTCGAGGCCTGGTGCTGGACACCGTGGCTCTAACCTCTCCTCAGCCGTGCGTTTGCTGCTGAAATAGTGTCACTAGTGTTGTTTGTGGGGACAATGAAGACAGGCCTCCATGAGATCATTAAAGAGTCACATTATAATCAAGGTAAACGTACTTTGCAGGTGATGATCTAAATAAACCCTCAACACCTCAGCCTCGCAGGTCTCGACAGAACAGGTTGCTGCTCTTTTTCTGCTAACAGGTTAATCAGGATGTCGTGTTGCATGAGTGTCTTTAATGTGCCTTGTGATGTTCTGTGTGGGTTATAGCAGTACTCACATGTTGGCAGAGCGCTTACGTGTAGCCTGTCGAAATGAAAGCAGGAGTAATTGTAAGATTATTGTCTTTTTCCAGAGTAGAGGAGTTGGCACAAAAACAAAGGGGTAGGCAGACAATCAGGACTCACTGCACTCTGGTATGTGATGTAGGTAACTTCCTCCTCTGTAAAAAAACAACACGAAACACAAATCATCAACTATTACCTCAAAGTTACACCTCCAAATCTGATCAGAGGACAGAAACAGGAGGAGCAGAGTGAGCCTGAGAGCGAGCTGCTGGGGCTGACCTCTTCATACAGACCAGTTATCATCACTGCTGCTGTTTCCATAACACTAACGGATTTAAACTTCAAATTCACAACTATGAAGGGAAGAGAGTTACAGTTCACCACCAAACACCACAGTCTCCTGACTTTACCCAATCACCGTTTGTGTGTTTAAGATTGGAGCTAAATGAGCCCGATCCTTAGTATTCTTCACTCTGACTGAAACACTGACGGCTTCCACCTCAGGCTGCTTCCTACCTTCCTCTCTGTAGTAGGTCTTATCAGAGGACGTCTTCACTGAAGCCTGCTTCATTGCCTTTTCAAGCTTCCTCTCATACAGATGCCGAGTGGAGTCTGTGTTCACACAAAAACACTTCTTCAGTATGTGAACAAAGGACAGACACTTATTTAAATAAATGCTGGAATGAATTAAAAGCAGTTTTTGGGTTCACATGACCTTTTGTAATGAATGATTTTAATGTCACGTGGATCCATTTTTATGATGCAGTGTAAGCAGTTTCCACATACTGTCCACATATACCAAGCCAGACCTGACGTAGCGGTAGCCTCGCGTTATAAACTTCCAGTGTGAAGGAAGTTTCCCGCAACATTTTCCTCATGTTTCAGATGCAGAACAGCGCTCACGTGGATAATCTGCGTGTGTGGAAAACACTTCACGGCGCAAAACTGCGATCCCTGTGTGTGTACTTACCCACGATGGGTCCGTGTTTGATGCCATAGTGAGAGAGCAAGCTGCCGAGCTCCTCGTCGCTTTTCTCACTCAGAGACATCTGCAGACAGACAGATTCAGACATGCGCCACCCTGCGCTCCAGCAGGGAAACCAACAGGCTACATTTCAAAACCAAACTTTATTAGTCAACGTTTAAGACAGTCGTACATGTTGTAAAGCGTTTACTTCTTTGGGCCCCGTTAAAATGAGTTTCCCCGCAGAAACATAGTTCCGAGAACTGACCTGGCGGCTTTTTGCGTCCCTCTCGAGAGAGTAAATCACGCTGCCACAAACAAATGAAAGCGGCGCATGAACAAAGCTGACGGTAAAGTGGGCTGAATGTCACTCACCTTTGGAATAAGACGACGGCTGTGCTGCGTGAACTGAGACGAAGGAAAGTCGGGCACAGCAGTAAAGCTCACATGTGGGCGTAACTTCTCCAGAATTTGGAGACGTTAGGTTGGCACACCCGCAGAGCACCGCTGATCCTGCTAACCTGACCTAGCCTTGTTCTGTAGCACGGTTACCAGTGCTTTGCTTTTAAACGAGTAATCAGCGCTCAGAGCGGGTCCAACAGGACCTTTGTTATCGGCAATCTGTGTAACATAATAGATATCCCCCTCCCGCCGATCCATCCTTCCAGCCCGGGTCCTCTACCAGAGGCCTTGAGGGTCCTGCGCAACACCTTGGCTGTTCCTAGGACTGCGCTCTTCAGAGACTGGGAGGACTCCGATTATCACTGGGACCACCGGGAGCTTCATCCTCCACATCTTCTTGAGCCCTTATAAGTAATTTCATGTCATAAACTTTTGTCTTCTCTCTCATAGCTTGTGTGTTTTTTGTTGTTGTGAACTGGTGCTCTATTAATAAAACTGAAACAATCTTTCATTCTTTTCGTGGAAGTTTGTTCAGTGCATGACACGCATTTAGTTTCTATTTCACTCGTCTGTAAATTAATATCGGCTCCCTTACATTAAGCTGGAGGGAAATAAAGACAACAGATGCTGAAAAATGGCGACTAAATGAAGTAAAGACATTGTGTGAATACATTTTTATTAGTGCTCTGTGTAAGACTTTATAAATATAAAGCAGTACTGCAAGTCTCCTCTGCTGGAATGCATAAAAACGTGATTTTGTCTGGTACAACGGTAAAAGGATCATCATCTTTGATGTTGTACTCCAAACAACAAAAACTTTAATGTTCATTACATTTATGTCAAGTTTTCATGAAACCACGCAGAGTTGAATCACTCATCGCTCTGTGTCATCTCTCTAAGGCACTCCTTCAGGTTATCCACCCTTTCAGGTGGAGCCTTCTGTATGGTCTGCTCCAGCAGCCGCCGTACTTGATCAAGCCCTCCTACCTTAGGGGCGTTCTGGCGGAAGAGGTAGCCGCAGAGCTGATTGTCATGGCAGTCTGGAGAAAGCAGGCCACACAGAAAGCGCAGGAACATGTCAAAGTGACCCAGTGGGTGGTTAAAGGTTCGCACCAACGCACACTGGATCAGGCCTGCGATGGACTTGGTTTGTTCTTTGGATGCAAAGATCTTGGGCAAGTGCAAGATCCCAGAGTCCAGGACGTTCTTCTCCTCTGTGCGAAACATTGTGAAGACATACAAAGCAGCCATGAACTCCTGCAAGAAGGAAGATAGAGCTTCTTAAAGCGTGATCTCTACAACATACAAGTTTTTCACATTTTTGTGTATGTCACAAGAAACAGTTGATTACAGTGGCTCCTCGTTTATCGCGGGAGTTACGTTCTAAGAGTAACCCGCGATAGGAGAAATCCACGAAGTAGCCAGTTTTATTTTTTTACAATTATTATAGATGTTTGAAGGCTGTAAAACCCCTCACTACACACTTTACACACTCAGACAGACACGAACATTTTCACACTTTTCTCTCTTGTTTAAACGCTTACAGTTCAAACCTTGGTAGGAAAATAAGTCCAGTATTATAGAATGAAACCAAACACACCCGCGGCTGCCTTTCAGGGCGCAAAACGTTTCGTCGACAGTGTTTGTTGGAGCAAACCTACAAACATACAGTGCAGCACTTCAGAGTCACACTGCTAGCGATCAAAGATTTATATAAATTTGACAAGCTGACCACATTCTGTACTGTACAGGAGACACGGCACGAGATTGATTAACAGTGGCCTGCAGCCAATCAGGACGCAGAACACAATGCGCTGTAAAAAATAAAAAATGCAAAATTGCACAAAAAAAAATCAGTGAAACAGCGGGGCTGTGAAAGCTGAACCAAACACTGTTTCTGTGGTGGGTGGGTTGATCCCTGGCTGCTCCAGGCTGCATCCCAAATGCCTCGGGAAAGATGCTAACCCCCAAGTTCAGATCTAATGCTCTGCTAACCACTCCCTGCAAATATGATATAAATTAAACAGAAACAAACAGAAAATAAAAAATCTACACAAGGATGCTAGGGTAGCTGAAACAGAGGGAGAGATGGGAAAGTCTGCAGCTTCAACAGATCCCTACATGTGAAGTGTATGTTTGATATACTAGAAGGCGTGTTAGTGTGTAAGATGCAATGCAGCTTGAGTTGTGCTAGCTTCACTACCTTTATGGAGTCAAAGGCTACGTTCACACTGCAGGTCTTAATGCTCAATTTTTTTTGATCAAATCAGATTTTTTTTTCTGTCTGGTTGTTCACATTACAAATAAAATATGACAGCAAACATGCTCTACTGTGAACAGTTCACGGCCCTCAAAGCAGCCCGCATGTGCAAAAGAAGACGTCACACACAATATGTCTGTGAAGGTTCTCAGTCATCCAGGTCATCGTAGTCTAAGGAGCTTGGAAAGAAAAGCGTCTGGACTTCTTTGAGTTGCTTGAAGACGTTTCACCTCTCATCCGACAAGCTTCTTCAGTTCTAAGGGTCAATGGTGGGGAGTCCCAGAGAGTCCCACACCAGCGAGGGAGGATAAGAAAGACAGACGCAACAGGCCTGTCTTTAAATCTGGGACTCCCCACCATTGACCCTTAGAACTGAAGAAGCTTCTCGGATGAGAGGTGAAACGTCTTCAAGCAACTCAAAGAAGTCCAGACGCTTTTCTTTCCAAGTTCCTTAGACGTCACACACAACGTGCTCCGTTTATGGAAGTAAAAATGGCGGCTACAGAGCAAGTAGGTGTTGTTGCAGCAGTCTATCAATTTCTGCACAGTCGTAACTGACATAATTTTGACGAATTAATTAGAGAAAGAAGGACACTGAGAAAACAGAGAGGGCCTGTGCTTTAACAATGGCCGCCATGCTTTCTCGTTTGTCTTCTCCGGCGCTGATAATTGGCGTCTGTCTTGTGTCAGTGACGTAAAAGACGGATTTAATGCAACATGACCATTCAAACAGCAGTCGCTTTCTAAAACATCAGATATGTATTGGATTCAGTACCACATACGAAAGTGACCCAGATCGGATTTGTGCCGTTCACACTGTCATACCATGATGGGATATGGGTCGCATAGGGTCAGAAAAGTCAGATTTGATGCGCTTTCGCCTGCAGTGTGAACGTAACCTTAGACAGTAAAGTTTATGGGAAGGTTGATGTCCGAGCAACAGGAACCTGTGAAGAGAGCTTATGTCAGGTCTGTTTGAAAAGAATAAGCACGAACATGTTTACCTGGAAGGTGAAGTGGATAAAGGAGTACACTGTCCTCCCATTGGCAGCTGGGGCGGGGAGCGCAGTGCACATGCCGCAAAACACGGCCACCTCGTTCAAATTCAGGCTGTACTCCTTCAGATCGTCTTCATAGAACACGCTGGTATCCTTCTCCAGCATTTTCAAGGCCATCCTTCCCAACTGTACCACCAGGTTTTTATCTTCAGTGGACCATTTCTGAGTGCAAAGAACACAAGAAGATAAAAACAAAGCTCTGACACCGAACATAAGCTTTGCAGTTCCAGGGCAAATGCCTGTTCATCGGTCTTAATGGAAATAAACTGGGATTTGACTGTGTTTGATTTATTGCTCCTTTAAAGCTGGGCCACATCTGGACTTTTCTGTTTCAACAGCTCTTCTTTTCACAGCAGCTGCGATGTCATCCACTCTGCTGCTTTGGGACTGCAGCGTACACCCGACAGTCATACATTAACACTCAGTTACCGACAGTATAGACAGTATATGACCCATCAAAGTCATACTAAGGCTGTAACTTGGCCAGTTTAAAAACAAAGACAGTATATAAAAGATGGATGCATCCTCTGTGACATCACTTCAGAAACTCGTGTAATACACACTGTGGACAAAGCCGCTTTTCTCTCCTAAAGCTAGCAAACTAGAGCAGCAGTAGTTTGCAGCAGGACTGGAAGCTGTTTGGAAATGAAACACAGACACGTTACCAGCTCATTTTCCCTCCTGTCATAGTAAAACTGCAGCCTGCGATTCATCTGGACCATCAAAATGTTGACGTAGAACGGCGTCAGTCTGGGAGGATCCTTCCCGTAGCCCCGGTAACGGTAGCAACGCTCGAACACCGTGGCCACCATCCAGCACACAAACGGGTGGCGAGCGGCCATGACAAGTGTGGGGAGGCGCTTAAAATGAGACAAGATCTTTGCTCCCAGATCCGTATCGCTCTGCCAGCGATTCTTCAGGTAGGACTCTTTCATGTCATCGCTGCGGACAAAGGGGGCAAACGGATTAACTCACAGCACTGAAACTAAATCACGTGCACACAGACGTCAGAAAGAATCAGCCGCCATACTTGAAGCCCTGGATTTCTGTGACCGCATCGATGAACTTGGAAGGTATCTGTGAGACAGCCCCCCGTCTGCCCAGGATCCAGAGGCGGGCGCCGCGGAGCACAGTGCCTCTGATGATGTTTACTACCAGGACGTCAGGATGTGCCGGAGTGTCGTTGTCATGTATGACTGGAGCATTCTGGAGACAGAAAAAGGAAACAGACAGAAATGCGTCTGATTGAGTCAGCCACTTATCTTAGCAGCCAGGTTTATTCCTGCTGGCTAAACCTGCTCAGTTACAAACAAGATCGTCACAAGTACTTTACTCCATCTTCATTTAACCTCCTAGGACCTGACCTCCACATGTGTGGACATCACATTTCCTTTAGAAATGTGTGGTTTCTTGCACATTGAATTTTGGTTTGTCCAGACCACAACACTGAATGTTGGGCCTGATATCCACTTACAGGGACGTTATGCTGCCACTGTTCTATCCAAATGTAAAACGAATGTCCTCGTGTGTGGATCTGATTTTTCTCAGAAAAAAAAATCAGGTAAGAAAAAAAAAAAAAAAAAAAAATCACAAAATTCTTAGTTTTTACATTCATCAGGTCCCAGTGACAGAGCTCAGGTCAGTAGGTTAATATAGCTGTGTCATGTCAGGATATCATCGCAAAAACAACGCCATGTGCTCCTAGCACACACAATGCCACTGCTCAAGCATCGTCCTCTGTGGGGAACATGATGCTGTTTTAGAAGCAGAACAGCTCTGCTGTGAATGATGCCGGTGACGTTGTGGGAACGAGATGAAGATGTGTTACACTGACACTACATATCAAAGATGGTTTGATGAGTGTGCAGCTTGTTGTGTGGTTGGAAGGAGGTGCTGCTGCTGTTCTGTTTAGTTAGTCTGAGAACAGGAAGTTAGTCTCACAGAATAAAAAGGGTTTTCACTCAAATCTTTAAATATCCAAGTGTGTTTGTTTCCTTTATGTGACTTGAGCCAATGATGTTAATAAGTCAGACATCAAAGTATGTGAATGGATGGGTTTACCTCCCAGTCCAAAGAACTCTGGTAACGATCAAATGAGTCCATTATGATGAGAAATTTACATTCGTCCTCCTCCAGGAAAGGCTTTACGTCTTTGCAGTCAGAATAAAAATATTCAATGATTTCCATGATGGACATCGTCTGAGAAGGAGGGAGGTGTTTGTTTCGCAGGACCCACAAAGATCTGAATGAAAGTTTGATGACAAACTGGATATCCTGGATAGAAAGAACAACAGAAAAGCTTTTGGTAATGAGCGAAACACAGGAACAGTAGCACAGCTCGTCTCTGCTGCAGCTGGAAAACCAAATACTGGCGAATCAAACCAACTACGCTGTGTGCTACTGCAGTGCTCAGGCTTCACACAGTATATAAGATGATAAAAAGGGAAATGTAGACAAAATATTGTGTAATTCCAAATATCAAACACATCTAGAACTCACACTGGCTTTCATTTATGGAACGAGCTAATTACAGCCCCTAACCCAGCATTCAGGAGGATGAATGGATGGATGACATATACAAAAAGTTCATTCCCCTTACAGCTGTTATCAGAGTGAAACAGACCGAGTGAAGCTGCTGGGATTTCTGTGTTCTTTCAAAGTAACTGCTAACGCTCTTCATGTATCAAGTGCACGAGACTGGAAAATAGTTCAAACAGTGAGCTCCTGCTGGAGTGACGGTATAACCACGTGTTTATCCACAGCAGGGTCCAACCCGAACGCTTTTTCTTGTCAGGACTGGCCTGAGGCGCTCATTGGGTCAGGATACGCAGAATGTAAAGCGTAAAGGCTCAGAGAACTCAGACCTCCCCACTCAGGACCAGCCCAGAACACACCCTGCTGTGGCTTTACTGAAGCTGTGATTTGTAAACATCTCACCTTATTGGCCCGTTGTTCGGCCCAATCCAGGCAGAATTTTCCCACACACACACTCATGCCAACTCCTGGAAGCCCTGTGGTCACCAGCGTCCTCACCGGAGTGCCGTCATCTTTCTTTAGTCGGATCAAATTGTTCAGTCCAACAAAGGTGTCAGGGCTGGGGACCGGGACAGGGGACGCAGGTGGTCGTAAATCATGGGTGGGATAAATTCCTCCACAACCAGAGGTGGAAATCTCCGGCTCCACAAAGACCTTGTCTAGAAAGTTCTGCTTCCCAGCTTGAATGACTCCCTCCCGGATGACTTGATGGTCTCTGACTAAAGCCTGCTGCAAGCGGAAACGCATCAACGCTGTGTCGGAAAAGATATGGAGCAAAGTGAGAAAATGACATGTAGGAAAGAAAGAAACATTCAGTCCTTCAGGTACGTGTTGTCTAAATTCTGAGAGCTAAAATGAGATCATTCATCATCATTCAACAACACATCGCCTACAGGGGAAGTAAGAGGTTAAATCCAGGACGTCACACAATCTATTTACAAGTCAAGAAGCTTGCAGACAGAGCAGGGGTGTCCCACCCCAGGCCTCGAGGGCCGGCGTCCTGCAGGTTTTAGATCTGACCCTGGGTCAGCACACCTGAATCACATGATTAGTTCATTCCCAGGCCTCTGGAGAACTTCAAGACATGTTGAGGAGGTCATTTAGCCTTTAAATCAGCTGTGTTGGATCAAGGACACATCTAAAACCTGCAGGACACCGGCCCTCGAGGCCTGGGGTTGGACACCCCTGAGACAGAGGTCAGAGAATAGATGTTCGAGTGTCGGCAGACAGCAGGAGCATCAGAGTTGCACATCGAGCTACAGCAACTTTCTTATTTGTGATGATTGGAGCAGCAGATGCTTTGTAATGGCATGAAAATATAAAATGTCGTTTCATTTTACACATGAGTAACCCTGCTAGTATATGAATTGTTGAGCCATGGCCAAAAACAATTATATTGTCACTCTGACTTAAACAGTCTCATCTCTGACACAGCGACCACAGCGATTCTGAAGTAATCCCATTGAGGCTTCCCAGAGCTGTTCCCGCAGATATTGGATGTCATTTGCCGTGAGGCATAAAAGCACTTTGACCCTTCTTGAAACAGAGACATGAACATACTCTGCTGATGGTGCTGAAACCTCCTGAAAGCCCACGCACTGTCCGCTCACCTCTCTTACACATGTTTGACAGCTCCTCTGCTTCTGGCTTCTTGTTGATATGTTCCAGATTTGTTATTGTGCGAGTCAGAGCTCGATCTTGTCCTGCAGAGCACAGTTTGCATCCAAAATAAAAGCAATAAGAATGTGTGACACAAGTGTCCATCACAGCAACGACTGTTTCAGCTGTGAAATAAACTTTTACACCAAAATCCCCCCACAGCTGTAAAAGACTGGTTGGCAGCTGTTGCTCCTAAATGTGGCCCAGCCAGTGATTAGGCTCCGGGAAACACCTTTCCACACGCAGGTTTGGATTTTTCCCCATAAACTCCTTCATTTAGAAACTGCTGCTTTAGTTTACTTGTGTTGTCTGTTTGACATTTCAACTTGTTTGATGAGTTGAAACATTTAAGTGTGACAAACACACCAAATAATAGGAACTCAGGAAGAAGGCAAAGACTTTTCACATCACTGTAGGTGCCACAGCTGTGCTTCCTTACCGAGGACCTCCAACAGCCGGTCTACAAAGTCCAGTATGTCTCCATCGTACATCTGGTTCAGCTTCAGGTCAGCCTCCCACTGATAAAACCACGACTTGAATTTCATCATTTCTTCCCAGGACAGCTTGGTCAGGGTGCTCTGAATATTCTACAAATAAAGAGCACCTTATGAAAACACAACTTAAGACGATGTCTTGTCTTGCTGAATGCTCACGTACTCAAACCCATGGACATGATTTATCAATAAAACTTGTAACAAAACGGCAAAGTTGCTCTGAAATTTGTCCCTCGACTGCCAAATGGACTATCGGGATTTGTTCCACCCTGAATGTTTCATGTGTGCGCCCACTGCAGGAGCCTGCTCTGCAGGACTTCACTCTCAGGCGTGTTTTGGGCAGAAAGATGAAGTAACAGCAGAACAAGTGGAAAAGTCTCAAATGGACTGATTGGGTGTTTCAGGGTTTTCTGGCCCCGCAGACCTCTGACTAATCCAGAGAAGCTTCATCTGTAGCTTTCTCTGACTCTGTGTCAGCCCCAGTGTGTATGGGACAGCTGTCACACACACACCTGCAGCTGTGACCAATCACAGCCAAGATGTAAAACGTCTTTATAACCTGAGGAAACATGACGGCTGCTGTTTGTCATTGTGGCACTGATCTTCATCACACTGAAAATGCAGACAGACGTCTGAAGGAAAAGCCTCCTGACAGCAACAAGTTCCAAACACTTTGGACAGAAAATGGTGATTACACTGTGTTATTCAATGAAAACGTCTTTAGCGTGGACACCAAGCGATAGCTTCAGTAAAGACAGACAGGCTTTGTACCAACCCTAAAGACATGAGGCAGATCCTGTTCTGGGTGCAGCCTGCCGGGCTGGCTGTTCTCGTCAGGCATTGGATCATCTGGTTCAATGGGCTCAGGCGGTTCTGGAGAATTAGTTATTAAATACTCATCTTCTTCCTCATCATCTTCATAAAAGTCCAGATCAACAGAGCTGGGAGACAACCAGAAGCACAGGGTAGAGTCAGAGACTGCTGCAAACACGGTTACACAGCACGCATCCTGCCTGACCCAACACTGGTGAACAAAGTGTGGTGGATTTCTATAAATATCACTCTTTGGCTCTTCTAATAATAACGTTTGTCAACAACATTTGTTTTTTTTAAGTTTAATGTGTTTGAAAAACAGAAGACAAACCAGCCCGGGTCCATCGTCATGTTAAACTGAAACAGTGTGTGTGTGTGTGCGTGCATACGTGCGTGTGTGTGTGTGTGCGTGTGTGTGCGTGCGCGCGTGCCACCTGGTATCAATGACCACAGCTCCGGGCGCTCTGGTCTGCTGCGTGGTCATGGTGTACAGGGTTTCTGGAGAGTCGGAGCGATCCTTGATCTGTATCCTGGTCAGTATGAAGAACAACAAGCTGTAACAGGCTGCAGCAGCTCATATCATCCACACCTGCCATCCTCTGTAACTCTAACAGGATATTCAAATGTACCAGATGAGCTGCTGTAAAATGACTGCCCTGCTTTCAAAAGCAGAAAAAGAATTATTGTCACTTCTGTGTTGCTGAGCATTGAAGAACAAATCCAGAATGGCTTGTGGCAGCGCCCCCTGCATAGAAACAGCGCAGGTCCAATCCACGACATTTTTTAAAAACTCTGTACTTCGTTAGCCTGTATTTAAACATGACAGTGAAGTTGAAGCCTAATCCTAACAGCAGGATCAGCTGTGTTTAGCTGCACTGTCTTGTGCATCGTGCTGACTGTGCAAACTTTCTTGCAGCTCAGACAGTGGACAGGCTTCATTTTTAATACGGGCAATTAACTGGAACTAAGGGTGGCAGGCTAACTGTCCCAAAAACACACAGCAAAGAGCAGAAGTCTACAGACTGAAACTTCAAATCAGATAAAACACTCAGGACCAAGTACCCTGTCCCTGTGGGAGCTCTCGGTTCAGGTAGTTTTGCTACCACGTCTGCAGCTTCCTGCTTCTCCTCCACGTTGTCCTCCATGTCGTCACTCTCGCTCTTCATTGAACCGTAGCTGGACGGTGGCCTTTTCCACTTCTCCTTCTCCTCGTCCTCCTCATCCTCTCTCTGGAAAATGCTGGGTGAAGGAAAAGAAAGTTTTAGTGTGCACCTGACTGTTTCTTAAACATCATTCTTCTCACATATATTCACTCATATTAAGTTTTGGTTGTCTGGCTGTGACAGAGAGGTGTAAAGGTAAACATTTTTTTCTGAATTGCCACGTTGCTTTCTGAAAGACGCGCCTGCACTTACTCGTTATTGTTTCGTTACTACATTATTGGCTCCCTCGTCAGCCACTTTATGTTTTCCTCCTCTGTGTTTCAGATTTCTGTGACCGAAGCTAAACTCGCTCCATCACATCCCAACTGGCTCCAACTTAAACCAATGAATTCCTGATGGTGCTAAAGGCTGTAATACTAAAGCCAACAGGATGGTAAAGAACAGCAGACAGTATGAGAGCAGAGGGATGTTCAGAGTAGCTTTAACAGCTTTTTCAAATTCTAAATGTATGTGTAGCTTATGGCATTGAAACATGAAACATGATGTGCACAGCATACAGTTGTGTTCCTTTGCAAAGGACGGCCCAGTGCATCCAGGTGCAACAAAGGGAGCAGTGAACATGTTTCTGGAGCACTCACAGCTCTCCTGGATCCATGACTGGATCCATGACACAGTGACACATGCAGGAAAAAGAAGTCTGACTGGAAATTCATAGACTAGTTTTCAGCAAAGATGGCGGTTGGCCCACAACTGCCTCCCTGAAGTTAACAGCAGAAACGTGAAACATCAGCCAGTCACAGTGACGTGACGTTTACTTTCCTCGCTCGCTGTAAACGCGGATTTCACTCGCTTTCTTGAACTCTTGCCCCCTGTGTCCACACAGCTGGGCTCTTTCTTTTCACTTGTCTCTGCTGTGACAGGGAAAAGGTCACGCAGGAAGAGGCGTGACGGGGGGGGGCTCGCTGCATACCTGATAGTAATAAATGCGTGTTAACACTTGAGTCAGAGCTGAGTGGTCTGTAGCGCACAAGGAGAGTAAACTACGAGTCGCACACAAGCTGGGAAGATAATGACAACACCCACCTTTCGACCTCCGTGTCCGGGTCCATGTTTGTGGTTGGAGCAGACTGGCACGGCACGGAGCTTAGGCGGCTAAATGTTGCAGCACACAGTTACTTTAACACGAAAACAAGCCGACCGGCCTGCCGCGCTGATTAAGCTAAACTATACCACTTCCAACTTTCGTTTTCGACTCGTTTCCTTCCGCGAGCAAAGTGCAACGCAAACCCTAAGACTTCCGGGACAGCTTTTCGAAATAAAACCATGATCGTCGTTAGACACGAGTATATTTTAGAAAGCTACGTGTGTATGAAAACAGACACCACGGGCAGTGCTCGGGGCTGCAACACCACTGCTGTAGACCGCAGAGCTGCGCATGATCTTAATCACGGTCATAGAGCAGCTCAGATGTTAGTTTGAGACATATTCGGGCTTCATAAGTTAGTCCATCCATTTTTATTGTATTAATTATTAGTAGGATTTTTGAATAAGGTTAAAATAATCCCAAATAGTAGAAAAATCAGATTAAAACAAAAAAAAAATTTCAATAACATAAGCATAATATTTATTTGTAACATTTAAAGCTATTGTTAGTGTTCGACATGACAAACGTGGACCTGAATGAGCTCCTCATCTAAGAGAGATGCAGTGTTATGTTGTGAGAAAAGCACAGGGCAGCTTAAATCACCATCTTTTCAGTGTTCCAGGGTCTCCTCTAAAGAATTGTCTTTACAAGTTCAAGTGTACCACTTCCTACTTTATTAGGCAGATCTGTAAAATCCAGTGTTGTCTGTACATTAGTAATTCATATCAGTTCTTAGCAGGTCAATTCAAACATTATTTTCTGTTTATTTTCTATTGTTCTAATGTCCTCATAAACACAGGACGGGCAAACTGTTAATGCATGAAAACACTGCAACACAAAAGTCCAAAGATGACTTTTTGCGGGGACTTTTCCAAGCCCTAGCAGGAAAACAAACTAAACAAAGGTGCAGCACAATGTCAAGGAATTGGCACATCTGAAGCCGTTAGACTTGTTTGGGAGAAATGTTTGTGCAACCACATTTTTAGCTGGTTTGTGGTACCACAGAGGATTCAGTTTTACCACCACAGTGTAAGACTGTGAAGTGAGCTTACAGCAGTCAACTACAGTGCAGGCCCTCTTTTCTTTAGGTCTGGTTTTCAGTGAGCCAGACTTACTTGTTATCTTTGAAAGTTTTCCAGGCTTTCTTTCAAAGCTTTGCCTTTGGAAATTGACTTTTTTTTTCTAACTGATTGCAGTCTAGTCTTTATAACATTTCGTTTGTGCAGAGGCGGAGGCAGACATTTGAAACACCAAAAGGTAGTATGCATGTGGGATTGGGGGGGGGGGGGGGGGGGGGGTAGAAATGACTGAAAGATTCATTGGCTCTGTTTTGAGTTTTGTTCAAAAAAGAATGACTTCATATAGGGAAAAATATATAACACATATGCAGGACACCTTAAACTAGTTTTTTAATAAGCAGCAAGGCAGAACAAAATCAGGGCTGCATCAAGACACAGGGACTAAACCCCAATTCAACCAGACCCAGAACTGATCCGGAATTAAAACAGGACTACAACAGTTCAAAATCAGGACTACTGAGGATTTAACCAAGACAGAACTAGAATCAGAACTAGATGATAGTAGCACTAAAAATCATCATAGACCTGCACTACACTTATTTTTTAATTCTACCAAAGTCCACTATTTAGATTGAGAAAAATGTATATAATTATTTAGCCTTGTTGTGCAAACAAGCCTGCAGAACTTAATAAATATAGAATTTGAAAAAGAACAAACCCAAAAAGAAACACTAGGTACGAGATACATGAGGACCTATGATATGGTGATACTTTTGGTAAACAACCATGTGACTAACATGTGTGTCTCACCTGCTCTTGTTCCATCTCTGTTCTGTCCTCATTCTCCTCTCTCTCCCTCTTTGTGCTGACAATCATCAAATATACAGTTGAAGCCAGATATTTCCAAACTCTTCAGATAAAAACACAAACACTTTTTTAATTGTAACATCAAATCAGACTAAATGTTTTTTTTTATATTGATAAATATAAAAACTTATTTGTTAACTTTAAGAGTAAAGAGAGAAACTATCTGTATTTCTTAATTGCAAATGGCACCAAATTGTATTCAAAATTGAGCCACACTTATGGAGCTCCACAGTTCTTTTCCTGGTGTTTTGGTTGACATCTCTTGATTTTCCCATGTCACAGAAACAGGCTCTGTGTTTTGCCTTATATGCATCCACAGGTGTGCCACCAATTTACTCACATGGACTCTACTAACCTATCAGAAGCTTCTTCAGCTCAAAATGGAATCGTCTGGAGTTTTCTTATTAATTAACAATAAACTTAGTGTATATGTACTCCTAAATTTGATGAAAGTAATAAAAAATAGACAGCTCTGTCTCTCTTTATTCTGACATTTAACTAATTCAAAAGATATTTCAATATTTATCCAAAACAAAACAAGTTTACTCTAAATTGATGGATAGTCCGGAATAACATCTGTGGGCGCAAATTGGATGACATCTCGGGGAGGCACACTGCCGTGAGTTCTCAGAAATCGGCTCCTTGAGCACAAGAAATGACAAATCACAGAACGCAAGTACGGCGAAGCTCGCAGCTCTCCAACGGGAGATTGAGAGACCAGTGTTGGACTGTAGAACTGCTTTGAAATTCATATGAGTTGTTCGCACTAAAGTAAAAACCACCATCACTTATGCGGATACCCCTTTGGCGCCAGCTGCAAGGCTGGAGCTGAACAACACCCTGATAACGACTGTGTTTAGTCTGTTCCTTCCCATTCCATGCAAGGCCACCTGGGTTGGCTGGAAGACTGTTTACTTAGCCTAGCAGGGCGAAGGACACTGTCTCAGCTGAACTCTGGACACGCACACGTATACACTGATATGCACACTCTCATCCCCCCTCCCTTTCCAAACGCCTTCGATGCTTATTCCCTTCCGATGCTGACGGGGATCAAGGAGACCAGCGCACGCAGGCCCGGATGTACTGTCAAATTCAGCTGTCTCTCATCCTTTACCCACCCCTGTTGCTTGTCATGTGTTTCTTTGGTGTATTAAGAGTTTTTTTTCATGTGCTATGTGCAGAGGTGTTTTTTTCTGTTCTCATACTGATCTCCCTGTCGGAGCTCAGTCTGGGGGGAGTTATTTTTTTCTCTTTATCTTTCCTCATGTGGTGCATTTTCCATTGTTATACTTCTCTGACCTGTCTTCCCCATGTGATGTTTTGTGTAATGTATGTATGGTCGGAGGGTAAGATGGCGCCGCCATTGAGTGCAATAGGTCGGCAGCCTTATGAAATTTCCCCTTGTGGGACTAATAAAGGTATAAAGGTATATCATATCATATCATGTTGTACAGTAAAAAAATGTTCTTGTGTTTTCCATAAAGTGTATGTAAATATCTGGTTTCAGCTGTGAATATACTGCTGTGTATTGAAATTCCTCTTGTTTTGCATAGAAATATACTGAACAACATACAAAGCATAATATATAAAATAACATCTACCTGAGTTTTTTCTTTGAAAGAAGCCCCTTATGTCCATTCTTGTATATCAGTACGTTACTGAAACCTATTTATTTAGCTGTGGAGGGTAACAACTGAGAATATGAAATAAACACACATGTAAACTAAGACTCACTAAAGCAGACCTTCCCAAAGTGTGGGGCCCGCTCCCTAGGGGGGGTGCAGAGCCATTGCCGGGGGGGGGATGAAAAGGGGGGGGGACAATGCTTGGACACTGCTAGCACGGCGCCCACACAAACGCAAAGCAGGAGATGAAGCATCGCTGAATATGTTTCCAAACCAACTTCATTCTAAGCCAAAGACTAGAAAATATGGTGAAGCATATCTGCCCTTTGGTTTCACCTGCACAATTGCCAAGGTAGGTCTCCCTGCAGAATTGGTTTTCCCTGCATTGGGAGCACTCACCTGGCTCTACAAATCACAGACAAACAGTGTTAGTTCACAAACACTTGTTGTAATGACTAACTACTCCTGACATTTTGGAGATGTTAGCTCTTTATACAGTAAAGTTACAGTAGAATACAAATACCATCGGGCTGATCCTGCCACAATTTGTTGCCCCTGTCTATCACGGACAAACAGGATCCCACAGCTGTTTATGTTTTTAAACCCATTTTGCACAGAGAGACATTTTTTGAAAAATGTATTGATAGCAATGTTGAATATTATTACACAGAAAAAAACCCAACTACACGTAAAATAATTACACCGTGATGCTTCTGCCTTTGTAAATAGAGAGACAGTAACTGCGTGTGTATATGTAAGCGTGTAAAACCTGCAGATAGAGACAAAAATGTTAATCTGACTATCTGCCTTTCTGCAATTCATCTCATGTAAACAATAAAGTGGCGCACAGCGTGACATGAAAAAAGGCGCATACCTTTGACGTTGCGTGACGAACTCTGTATTCCTCTCCACACTTAAACGGCAGAAAAGGAGTTTTAAAAATCTCAGTTTTCGGTGATTTGAAACGCTGTTTACACAACAGCTGCGTTTTCAAAAATACCCGTGTAGGTGTGGATGTAGAGTAAAAGAGTTAGTAGTTTATTTTATTACTGCCTGTAATATATTGCAGATTACTTGTATTTGCTTAATTGTTTGCTAAATGTTTGAGGTGTGAAATAAACCGCTATGGAGCAAAATATGGGTGTGTGTGGCTGGAAAATGTGTTTGTGCGTGCGTGCGTGTGTGTGTGTGTGTGGGGGGGGGGGGGGGGGGGGGGGGACATTTTTCTTGTAAAACAAAGGGGGGCCCAGCAAAAAAACCACTGCTCTAAAGAAACAGCATTGTTGTTCGGCTTTTCATTTCGCCATTTGTTTATTCACTTGAAGAGCAAGTAACGTAATATGGGTCAAGTGACCCACTTGATATCAATCTTTCGTGATACATCGTCATATTTACATTATTTGTACAGTACAAATGATTTGCTTTGATACCTGGTCAAACTTCAGTTCTCCTCTGTCTGCCTAGCTCCCTTTCTCCAACAGCGCACTCGCAGGCAGCAGCTCCCCCCGCCCCCTCGCTCAATCGCTAAGGCTACGCGAAAGCGCATCAAATCCGATTTTTTTGACCCTATGCGACCCATATCCGATCATGCTATGACAGTGTGAACGGCGCAAATCCGATATTTTCAAATCCGATCTGGGTCACTTTCATATGTGGTACTGAATCCGATACATATCCGATGTATTAGAAAGCGACTGCTGTTTGAACGGTCAAGTCGCATTAAATCCGCCTTTTACG